GATATATATATATATATATATATATATATACACACACATACATACATACATACATACATATATACACAATACATACATATATATATTACGACTTATGATGTATATCACAGAAAATATGTCGCTGTACATCTTCGTAATAGATAAATTCGCAAGAAATAAGATCTGTATTTTGTTTCCATCGTAAACTGATTTGTATTCTTTTAAACGAATACAAAATCTAATTACTTTTAAAGACTGATAGAAACATGATGAAGATTTGGACAAAACTTGGACATTTTCAGCGCAACAGAATGTTATGATAAAAGCGGTAGGTAATGTTTATATCGATGTAGCGGTCTAAGTAACGCTAAACTGGCATTACATAAAGAGACAAAATTTTGTAAACCTTTACTTTAAGTTTCTAGTCTATTTGAAAATCTACAGTTAAAATAGCTTCTATTTTGGTCATATATGTATTACATAAAATCGATTTGCATGTAACAAGTGTCTACTGATTCGACTGTTACCCTTTCTAAAATACACGTAGGTACAATTAAGTGTGTACGGATCAATTATGAATTTATAGATCAGAAAGTTTAAGGTACTGGCATGGCGGTTAATAATATTACTTTTATATGTTCTCGTTTTTCTTTTTTTTTCGTTTTATTGGAAAATTTGCTATATAATTAAAGCGTTCAACAATGCGTACAATACTTTAAGTTTTTTCCTATATCGCGTCATCTTTCCTTCTAAATGCATCAGATCAATCTAAAATCTCATTAGAAGGAAACTGTTTGACACGATGTAGGATAGATTTTACTGTTCATTATATACATATTTATTACACGCGTCTTACCCTGTTCCAGTTCGAGTTAATTAGATTTAACCCTTCCAACTTGGAACCACATCAGGGTAACTTTATATTTTTTTTCATACAAGATTTGGTCTGTACACCAGAATTCTTTTTGTAATCTCCGTCTTTTACTTAGATTTTAAGTATAATTCATTTTTGTTATACTGTATTTTAGATTCGGCAGACATCTTAATAATTTGTATATTAATAATTACAGTACAATAAAATTTATAGCTACTAATATCTATTTTGTTTAATATTTTAATTATAGTAAAAACAATGCATTTTATTAAAATATATGAAAAAAATATATATATACAGTAATAAATAAGTAATAAATATACCATTTATTCATATATCTTCGTACAAAAATTTTTACCCTAATATTTACAGACATTTATATAAATTGATAGACTTATCTTCAGATACTGATGCAATTATATTATTTGTTTGTGGATTGTATTTTACAGCCCATACCTAGGGAAACAAAATATTAAACATTTACAAACCTAAATGGCAGATTATTTTTTCTGATTTGTAAATTCACGATAAAAATTATATAGTGTTATATATAATACATTACCTGCTCATTATGTTCATTAAATGTATATAAGCAACGTCTGTTAGCTAGTTCCCATACTCTAACTGTACGATCTGAACTACTAGATGCAAATTCTTGACCATGTGGAGCAAAAGAAACACCAAGAACCCAAGAAGCATGGCCTGACATGGTTCCTGCTAAGTTAGCATCTTTTCTATATTAAAAAATAAAAAAATAATCTCTTTAATTACATTTTAAATACATTTCTACATTCAATTTGAATCTTAGATTTACTTACACATCATACAATTTCATGTGTCCATCATCTGATGCTGTAAGGAGTAACTGAGAATCTGGTGAGAAACAAAGAGACCTAATAGGCATTGCATGACCTAAAATATTTAAATTTATAGTTCACTGATGAATATAAACTGTTAAAAGGTTATGAACAAAACAAATTTTTATTACCTTCTAATGTACGTAATACTTTTCCATGGGCAACATCAAAAATATTGATAATACCATCTATTGCACCACTAGCAATATATTTACCATCAGGACTCTAAAATAAATAATTATAGTTATTATGCTATTTTTATATAAAATTATACAATACACATCTTTTTAACTACCTACATAGGCAACGCTTAAGGTAAATTTTCCACCTCTGGTATCTAAAGTTTGCTCCAGTTTACCACTTTCTGTTCCATATAAATGTATTTTACCTGAATGACTACCAGACACAATGAATTTATCATCAGGAGAAAATACTACTGTCCAAATATCTACAGGACCTACTTCAACACTTGATATCATTCCTCCTGTTTGTAGATCCCATAACTTCAAGCTAGAATCCAATGAACTTGATGCACATTCTAAAAATATATCACATTTTGAATAATATATTCACATGCATTAAATTATAGCATAATGTATACAAATAGTTTATAGATTTTATTAATTACTTACTTGTACCATCTGAACTTACAGCAACAGATACAACACCAAGTGAATGACCAGTTAACTTATATTTTAATTGTAAACTTTTGTCTTTTTGTTCCCAAACTTTAACAGTATCGTCAACTGAACCAGTTACTAAATATTCCACTGTTTCTTCTTCATTAAATTGCATTGATTCACTATGTGAAAAATGTTATAAAGAACCAGATGATAAAAGCTGTATCAAAATTAATTACCTTGAATCTTCATTATCCGATTCTAATTCTATTTTTTTCTTTAAAGAACCCCAAGCGCATGTCCAAATGCTATCATCATGAGCATTTTCTATTTTATGAAGTACGGAATACTGAAAAATTTCGTTTATCGCGAATATAACAAACAATACTGTAATAAAGTTTATATTGGGATAATTTATAAATTCGTTTATATTCCTCACCATTTTAGAAAATATGTATTATCTTCTAAACCATATATTATTAACGATTAAAAATAATTTTGTCCTCATGTAAAATATTTTGTTATTTACTTATACACGCTTATACGTATATCTACAGCCGATTCAACGAGTCCAAACCCAATATTTCACGTATCTTCTCCGCTAACCTTTTTAATAAAACCTTATTTGTAAAAGAAGCTTTCCTTTTTACATTTTTAATTTCAGCCAAAAGTTTCAAAATATTTATTTAATTTCTTAAATGTAAACCATAAAATTCGGAAAAAATTTCTTTACAATCATTGGTAGTTATATAAGGACCTGAAAATTGAGCCGATCCTGTTCACTGATCACGTGCAACAGCAACACTAAATTGATTAATGTCGTATGTGTTTGTATTGAAAGTGTTCATAAAATTTTGTGAAATATATAAAACAATTTATGACATAAATGGAAAACTAATATCATAATTTAATTGTATAGAATTTAAAAAGATAATACTTCTTTTTATACATTATGATATAATCAATTAAGAAATTATAACCTTTTTTTGATACGAGTAAATAAAAAGAATATTAAAAGCTATCCTCATAAAAGTATGATCTATTGATGAAAACATAGAATACAAAATGTTGAAAGTATTCAACTTTGGCAGAAATATGCATTGTGGCTTTTGGAAACCTATGATGTATAAACGAACTTTTCTGTCGGAAGCGTACCGGTGTGAAAAAGCATGGAACGATCGACTACAATCCCCATTACTCCAAAAATATCCGCCAGAAGATTTATTTATAATTTTAGAAAATAAATTTCATTGTGATAAAAAAGTTAGTGCATTGGATATAGATATATTTGCAAATAGTATACAGAAAAAACAACAAGTGGAAGAATTATTAAGTTTACTCCAGAAATTGAGAAAAACTGCAGAAGCAACAAATATATTAGATTCAACACATCATGCTGTTATAAGATATCTATTAAATAATGAATGTACCAATGAACTTATGAATATATTGCATGACAGACTTAATTTCGGTATTTTTCCTGATTATTTGTGTTATAACATACTTATGGATACATATATAAAAAAAGAAGATTATTCTAGTGCTGCAAAAATTGCTGTTTTACCTATGTTGCAAGAAGACTCAGAACACTTGATAACTAATGCATTGTCTATATATTCTTGTCATAAATATTTAGAAAATCCAGATACTTGGCAAAAACCACCAGAACCAGTAGATGATTCTAAAGAAGAAATTAAAATACGTGTAGATTATCTTAGAAATCCTTTTTTTGATGACCATTTTGATCTTACTGAGCCATGTGATTTGGTTGGAAAAACATTAGCTTTTCAAGGAAAATTTATGAATAATGAATTAGGAAGGACTTGTCAATTAAGAGGCTTAATATTATATAAAAAATATCAAGATGTATCAAAATTAATAAAACAGTGGTTAAATGGAGTTGAAGGAAATATTGTTTACAATGAAGTTTTTAAATTGATTGAGAAAGACAAAAAAGATATACTTAAAGAACAAGCAACAAATGAATTTGAACATTTAATGTCAGAAGTCAATGTTTTAAAACAAAAGGCTTTATGTATGGACAGTTTAAACGAAGCACTGGAAAATAATGTTAAATCTGCAGTTAACAAGCAGCATGATATAGATATAAATAAGCAAATGCAGGTAATCAAAGAAATATAAAAGAATCAAGTTTATTATCTATTAATTACCTCACGTACTGATTAAATCAATTTTAATTTCTTTGCAGATATATACTGAATGGGAGGAAAAGAGACAATTAGTATTAAATAAACAATTGGAAGAGATAAACCGACAAATTAAACTGAAAGAAATAAATAAAATGAAGGAAGAAATGCACGTACGAGAAAGATTTTTAACTTTCTTTGAGAACAGAGAAAAAATAGAATTGGAGATAGAGAAAATAAAATCTGCACAAAGAAAAGAAAACAGACGTATCCTTAGAATCCGTGGTGCTCGAAAGAAACTAAAGATGTTAGAAGAACAAAAAGAATATATACCACCATTGATTTAAATTTTGAGAAACTGAATAAATGTATGTAATTAAAACTTAGTTAATGAAACAAATTCTTATAAAAGTTATTTTTAAAGGACACATAGTTACAAAAAACAGTAAAAGTATGTTGCATGTTGTTTATCTCTTGTATTTTGTACATAATTACTTCAAAGTATATTATTAAATATTATTCAATATGTTTATAGCAGATATCTTCAATGCTACTTATTTTTTTAGAAATATGAAAGTTAACTGTACAATTGAAGTCTATGCTAAAAAATTATTAGGCTCTGTAACAAATAATATCCTATTTGAGCATTGATATTGAATCAATTTATGTCATATACTTGACCCTTTTATAAGCATGATTATCATTATGTATATAATTTTGGGCCAAGGCACACATTTAACAGTTATTCCTAAAGTTGCAAATATTGTTTTACAGGAGCAGTAATATATCAAATTCTGCATATAAAATTTGGTCTCCGTAATCGCATTTGTTTATAAGGAATGTCCTATAAATGCAATAATATAGTCTTTTATTTTCTGTATAAACATTTTTAATTAAAATTTTAGCGAATTTTTCTTTTAACATTAATAAAACAATTACCTGGTCGTTGTTATTACAAATAATATATCATAATATCACAGATTACGCAAAAATCACGAAGTTTTATTCTGAAGTTGTGCCGTTAATTCTGCTGTTTCCTGTTTCATTTGCTTCAAGTCTGCAGTTATTCTCTCTAAATTTGCTCCAACATTTTTTGTAGCTTCAGAATCAATCTAAAACGAAACGATCAAAATTTAATGCAATAAAACTGATGGTATGCATCACAATTTACTATAGCATTCTAATGTTGGTGCATCCTAATATTTTATAGATTGTATAGAAATAATCTTCAATGATATATGACATTTACCTGCTCTTCTAAATCCCTTATTTCTCTTATAGTTGCACCTGTTTCTTCTACTAAACTTACGAGTTCGCTGCAGTCGGAATGAAGTTTGGCTAGTAATTTATAAGCTTGCCTTGATGCTTCATTTGTTCTTGCATCTCGAAATATTAATTCATCAACAACAGTAAAAGATCTTTCTAATCTGCCTGTAAGTGTGTTAATTTCTATTTGGATTTGTCGAGTGTCAATTAATACTTTATCAATTTCATCTCTTTGTTTTCTAATGTTGTTAATTATTTCTAAAATTCGTTGAGTATATGCGGACCTATTCACTTCTTTAGGAAGCTTTTGAACTTCAGTAACCAATTGTGAGTATTGCTGATCTTTGTTACGACATTCTTCTTGAAGTTCTCTTTCCTTCTCTTTTAGTAACTTAATTTCATCAAGTTTCTTCTGACTTGCACTCTAAATATATGTATTAAATACATTAAATTTTTATGACAGCTAGATAATATGAATTTTGTTTTATATAAACAGTGATGGTACTTACAGCTTTAGTAGAATATTTTTCTCTTTCTTGTCTGTATATTTGAATTAGTGGCACTCTATGTTTTTCCCATTGATTACCTAAATTAATTAATTTATTTGTAGTAGCTTCAACTGCTGCCTCTAGTTTTTTAATATTTTCTTCACCATCTTGAAATAGATCATAAATTCTTGCTTTAAGTTTTTTTTGTTCTTCATTGATTGTTAACTCTTTCTCTTCATTTTGATAATTGATTGTTACTTGTGATACACTGGTAGTTAAATTCTTGATTGCATCTTGTAATTCTTCTATATCAGTTCTGAAATTTTCACATTCTACTTTCACTTTTTCTATCTGTAAGTCTTGTTTTTTCACTTTATCTAATATTTTTTCTTCTACTTGTTTAGTTTCTCTAGAGGTGTTATCTTTTATCTGAGATTCCTATATATAAGAAGATAACAAAGAATTAATGAAATAGTACAAAATAGAATTATGAAAATTATTTCAACTTTTTTGAAGTTTACTTTGGAAGATAATGTTGTATCTTTTACTGAGACCCTATTTAAGACACTGACATTATCAGATGCATTAACATCAGTAACTTTATCATAATGTTGCTTATTCAACCAATTTATTTGGTCAAGAATACTCATTGAATGTGAATGAAGAGCTCGTGCATTATAGGATATCAAAGAGGGTAGAAGTGATGAATCATTTTGCACTTGTTCAGGCACAGATTGTAGATAATGTATAGAATAATCTTGGTATTCTAAGAGAAACAAAATCTTTTTAAGCAAAATATTATTATTATAATATTAAAAATAAGCAATATTACCTTCTTTATTATCCATTTTTGGGATCTCTAAATTTACAGATTTATAAGGAACTCTTGCTCTTCCTCTATTTCTAAATCCCTTTGTATGACAATAATGTGGCAACCATGAAGCTGAAAGACTCTGTGCTATTGCTGTTGCTATAGATTTTTCTAACAATGCAATATTACTAACAGGTTCACTTAAAGGCTTATCGCTTTCTTTCGGTAATTTTTCAATAAGAAACATAAAAACTTTTCGTAAGTCTGCTTCTGAACTGTATAAAAATGTTTGATAACCAATATCACCTTTGTATCCTAATTCCTAAATTTATAAACTAGGTATCAATAAAAATAAAATATTTATACTATATAAATAGTTGAAATTTTTATATTCATAAAATCTTACTGAACATGCTTGAGCAAGTGTAGCACCCAATCGAAATCTGGCTGCCATATTTACAGGTAGAATTGTTGATAATCCAAGGCCTGGTCTTATTATATTTAAACATTTTACAGTTGCTTCTATTACTAACTCTGTATTAAAACCACTGAGATTTGTTATATTCTCTTCTATGTCACTAAAAAGATTAATATTAAAAACTAAAGTATTGTAAAAAGATAATACTTTACTTAGAAATGTTAAAAAAAAAAAGGTTAAATCACATAGAATATGTATATATATGTATATAATTAAACTTTGGAAAACTTATTAAACTAATTGATAGACTGCCGTATTTTTACAATTATTTTATAAATTATTATACATTTTTGCAACTATTTATTAATTATAACATTTTGAACAATCACTACCGCAATTTATTTTTTATTTAAATAGTAGAATGATATCTTATTTGACAAAGCAAATTACCATTTTTTATATTTTCAAACATATCATCGCCCACTTTTAATCATACGGTTGATATCAGGTATCAAGCGCTCGCTATATGTATATAAAACTGATCAAAATAAAACTTACCAGCCTATTTGACGCAATGAATGAATGATTATATTGTCAACCTCCTCCATTATCCGTAAAAACGTAAAAATTCTAAATTTTTCTACTGTATGATATTGAAAAAATTTAAGTTGAATTACACAAATCTAACCTGTCCATGAGTGAACAGACATTTGTGCACTGTGCAATTATACAGATGGCGCAACAAATTATCAGTTTTACCAACGCGAAATGTATTCATATTATATTGATCGTTGTATTATTTCTTGCCTTTCATTTATATAATAATCTTTAAAATAGGAGTCAATATTTTGTAATTTTAAATAAGTCAAAATGCAGATAATATGTAACATAAATACAAAATATGCAGTGCTTTTAAAAAATAGAAAAAAATACAAATTATACATAGCATTTTCCAATAATAATCAAGTCTAAAATTTAAGCTTAATTTAATATTATATTCAAATTTAATATAATTTCGAGATTAAATTTTTCTATAATTTATATGTACGAAATATTTTCGATTAGAATTTAAAATAAACACAAAAATACATAAATATAAGAGGAATGAAATGTTCGTTATATGAATATTATAAATTTAATTTTTTTCAATTTAAACATTTGATTATATAAAAAATAAAATCATTTATATATCTCAACAAACAAATTTAAAAGAAATTAAAGAAAACAAAATATAAAAGTCTAAATACAAATGAAATGATACATTTAACTATAGTCATTGGATATTTACATTCGTAAGTTTGAGACATCTTCGAGATTTGAATCTACGCGCCAGCTTTCAATATCGACTAAGAGAACTACTCGTAGGCAAGTTCACATTATAAAGTAAAGATCAATTATTCGCGGCGAGAGGTCCGCACTCCGCGGAGTCGTGCGTTACGTTCGGTACGCGTCAACATCAGCTGTTGTTTCGCTCTCGCGTGAAATGACAGTTTCGTGGAGGTTCATAATGTGGATATCGTTTTCGTGAGGGTGCTTCGTGTACCGCGGAGGTGAGCTGTATCCGATCTTTTTTTCCGGGTAAGATGAACGGGAGTCTGGGAATAATGCGCGGACCAGAGCAACATCCACAGAGGTTCGCGGATTATTTTGTCATATGCGGACTGGACAAAGATTCAGGCTTAGAGCCAGACAAATATTTCGGTGAGTTTTACACATTTCTTTGAACATTTTTACTGAAACATATTAGTTTTATCAAGATTAATCATTTATTATCTACTTAATCTCGAACGAATTGGATTGCTGTTATGAATGTTCGATGGTTTTAGAGTCTGACAAAAAGGCTACGCTATTGCAATTTTCGAAATCGCTAGGTTGCGCAATGATAGATAATGTATCTCAGTTGGTTATTTATGTTTATATGATACGCTTCTATTCGCGAATTTGAAAAGATTTATTAGTCATCATTATTTTCTTATTCTCGGTTTGTGAAGATTCTTTTTGTTAATTGTAAGATTAGTTTTTTGTTCATTAGATCATGAATATTATTTGACATATATCTACTTGTTTAATTTGCACGTGATTGACACGTGAATTTCGATCGATGTCATTGCACCTTTTAGAAAATGCTCCCCTTTGAACGGACTCTTTGACAGTTCCTCTGAACACATCGCGAGTTTCTTCTCGCTATATAAAATGATACAAAGGAATATTTCTTGTGTATTCGAGTGTGTAAAATAATACATTTTTTGTGACAATATCTTTGTGAATGAATATCTCACAACTTTGTTAGATATGTTTTCAAATATAAATAACCGTCAATGTCAAATAAATCGTATAATCTCGTTACGTTAATAACATAGAAGGAAGCCACCACGTTCAATAGAATGCTGAACGCTCGATAATAATCAAGTTCATTGTGTATTTTTAATTTTATATTTTTTAATGCCACTTAAATCGATATTTTCAGTCGCGTATTTTTAATCTTCTTTGAAGAATGCTTATCATATTTTTTATGACAAAACACGTTGCGAATATAAATATTATTACATGTTAAGTATAATAAACAGGATTTGTCCATCATACATCAAATAGGTTATTTCAACGTAGTAAATTTCAAAGTTATATACAATAATAATTTGAATAATAATTTTGCAGCTCCTGTTCACAATAAATATTATACAATTTATTATCTCTGGAATAAAATAATGTATTGTTAAAAAAAATAATTATCTAATTCGACTACGAAATATTTTTATGTTACATTATTTTAAACGGTACAATCTCTTTCCATCTGTTATTATATCTTACTGCGTGAATCAATGCAGTTACTGCTGAATTCGATAATCGATGAAAATTCGAACTAGAAATTCGAATTTTGCTTATTTACGTATAATTATCCGTTTTCACCATGAGATACTTTCGAAAATATCACTGTTTATGCACAGTGGTTAGTAGTTCGCGGTACAAGAAGACGGTCAGTATCATTGAAAATGCAATTACTAGCCTAATAAACTTCGTTGAATATTTGATTGTTCTTTGGCTGATGGTTGGCAACACTTGGCCGCGTAAAACCGCTCGAAACGCGAACAATGAGGGCACAGGAAGCAACGGATCTTCTTGGGAAGAAAGATGCTCCTCTCGTTTGAACGATTTTTTCCAAGAACGGCTTGAAAGAAGATCGTTTTACCGAACAGCGGCACGTCGCTGTTGAGAAAATTCCGCATTAAAAGATGCACGTGTTAGTGGTGACCATTTGTCTGGTTTAGCGATCAGCCGCAGCTTCTTGTGTTTGTTTACGTAACTTGCACGGACCTCGCGTGATGTTTATTTTCGATTAACGTTTCACGGTTATGTTATTCTCCGTCATGCGTAATTCGTCCACTACTTCGAGATAAAATTCGTTTCTTCTGTATGCCGATAAAGTTTTGTGAAAATACAGCTATAAAATGAGAAGTTAAAGAAAAATATGACGTTCTATTTGTGGTTAAATTCGTTTCTTATCGTATTACATTTTTATTTACATTACACATGGGAAATACGTATTTATATTTATTAGGTTGTTATTATACTAGAAATAGGAAATAAGATTTGATAAGAACAGTGATTTATTATATGGTATACACGTCATTGTTATTAAATTGATAACCTATAAATGTATAACTCATATCTAATTATATATCTAGGATATATTGTTATCATATAATCATTACAGTATTATTATCGATATCTTATTTCTCTTTTTTGATTAAATTACAACATATCATTGTTATATGTGCACGTGTGTGTACAATTGAATGTTACGAAGTATTCGATTAGAAAATAACGAAACAAAACACTTAACAAGATATTGTTTCGTTCTTACAATTATATCTAGATGAAGTTTGTACTAATTTTCGAATAGCCATTCTCAAACGAAATACTCATATAATGGCGTCGAATGTTTGTTCTTAGTTGGTTCAACCTCTTCGAAGAATTTATGTAATGTCGTTAGTTTTTCAAGGTGGTCGGATGTGTCGGGAGTAACTCAATCCTGAAAACTCGCGCGCTGACCGATGAAAGTGGCCGGTATTGAATTACGACACACTTGTTTCGCTACGAATTTCTACGGTTGTTAAGTGCAACACGTGTGTGCATCACGGTGCATGCTACTGTATCAGCATGCAGCCTCGTCACATTATGCAGCGACTTATCACTAGTTTCTAGCATTACACACCAACATTCCGTGTTTATAATGTAATTTTCTGATGAATACGAAGTAAGGTATTTTAAATAACTTTTATTAATTAGTTTTGAAAATACTAAAAAAACAATTAACTTGCAGAATTTTGCCACATTTTGACAAATTTTTTATTTATACATCCCACAATTTCATCCGGAGGTGATAAAATTATGTGTGCCCGGGGTTTTTGTCAACACAAATGAAAAGAAACATGGTATAAAAAGAGAAGTAGTTTGCACTTTTACCGACACGACGTCCGCCTGCAAAATACACGGGCTATAAATTGAAACGTAATTCTAACGCGCCCCAGAACCGCGTACATTCTACGCGACGAACAAAGGCTAATTGTGAACAATGGCAACAAGAAGGAGATAATTCCTGCTTTCGTTGAATTGTAACCTTCGACCTCATCCATTTGACGTGTTTAGCCGTGTCGCGTGAAATGAATATTCTCACTGAAGAAAGTGCTGAAAGAATTATCAATGGAAGCCATTTAATTTGAAGATTTCCAACGGTTTTTTCCGGCTATCTTATCGAAATTGAATAACTTCTTTTTCGTATCCAAGATAGAGTATAAACTGTAATACGATTGTACAGAAAATAGAACGATATAGAAAACTAAACGAATGAAACCGGCATAAAATTTAATTTAATTTAAAGTTGTAAGTACAATTACAATAAGTTATTGTTTAATTTTTTTATTTTTGTATTTTTACAAAAAAATTGTACTTTTACAAAGATTCGTATTTTTACAGAAATTATTTGCATACATGGATTTATATCGTTGTATAACAACCATAGAATAATATTTTGTAAGCAACGAAAAAGGATTTGTATTTGCAAAAACAGGGATTTTTCCGCGTCCCTAAACGTATAAAAAGAGAAAGAAAATGGAAGAAGAAAAATAGGTGGCTTTTCGTACAGCTCTTCTTGTCGCAGGAGTTTCCTGGAGTTTTTCTAGAAAAGGACGTTCTCGGATAAAGCGCGGTACGACAAAGAAACAGGGGGAATTCTAAAGATACTGCACGCTGAGAGCAGCTGCAACAGATGCAGCGCGATGCATCGTGAGCGCCCTCAAGGATAACGAAATTAATCAGAACACTAGAGCTTTTGGAAACGAAATTCATTTATTTATTTAGCATGATATTGGTAAACGTGTGGGAATATTATCTACTTAATTAATAGCTTAGATCTTTCTTTGTTCGAGTACATTCAAGATATCATATCGAGTACATCTCAAGTAATATAATTTGATTTATTTGCTATTCGAAATAATTCTAGGTTTGTTTGGCAGTATGCAACGATTGTGATTTAATATTTAAAATACCTTTTTTAATTAACAAGTTTAAAAAATATACGAAGTGCATTGTTAGGTAGGTAGTGTTTTTCCAAATCATTTTTTAATGCATTTGTTATCGTGCCAAATGATCTCTTATTTGAATTTATATTCCATGAAATATATATTCATTTTCTTAAATACATATCAAATGTGTATATAGATATGTAGATATGTAAGCTATATAATTTTGTAAGTTATACGTTTTTATATTATGCATATATATGCTATTACTGTATATAAATTATATCGAACTTTTTGTTTGTTTTCAAAAACAGATCGAATCGGGTGAAACAGTTACTATCTACGTTTGTTGGGTTTGTTATTTTCGTGGTTTGGACAGTTTCCGATACAATAGACTCTCGTGTCTTCCAATAGAAGCAGGCAATATGTTCAGACTCACCCATTCGTCAATTTAATATGTTGGTATAGTGAGACGATTCGATCGATCCAGTCGCTCGCAAAGTTCAGCTATTAAACACGTCTGGCTAGCTGTAGTAAACGATGTTTGTCATAGGAAGATAATAAGCCAAAAAACTTTACTTAATTGTATCTCAGTTTACAAGTATTTACGAAGATTATATCTCCTATGAGAGAATCTATATCCTAAGGTTATTGGATATATTGCCAATGACTAAGCTATTTGCACAAACCGATAAGCATTGAAAATATAAGTTGTCGATATTTTGTCGATAATCATTAGCAACATCTGCATTATCGATATTTATCGGTAAAGGAATTTCACAGCACAAGTACGAGAAGGAAAAGATATCCGCGAAGTACATAAATATCGTAAGGATACAATAGAAATATTTTGAAACAAGGAGAACAAGAAAATGTATATTAAGTTTTATAACGTATCATATTTTGTCGGGATTACCACGAGGTTTTGTTATCGATAAATGGGAAGTGATTTTCGTTACGTACAAATAGATGTCTTTAGTTGCATTCAATCTTGTGAGTACTAACAGAAATAGTATTCTTTCAGTAATAAAGTTTTCAATTTATTTTATACGCTTTTTCTGTTACTAAAAACATATTACTTATTTGTAAAATTACAATGAATTACATTTCCATGTTTTCTAATTACTAAAGAAGTCACTTGATCGAGCCAGTTTTAAGAAAAACTTTTTTTTTTTTATTATC